GACCCTCCTGTCACTCCCAGCAACAAAGCCTTACTTGCTGTGTGACCCAGGGCCACCTACCTGACCTCTCTGAGCCTCCAGCTTTCTCATTCCAGGCTGCACTCGGGGGTTTTTCTTTTGCCTCTCCCTGCGTTCCGGTGTGGTTCTCTGCGTCTAGAAGGGCCTGCTTTTGCCTCTTCTCTTTTTCTCTGGCCCGTCTGGTTTGCCCAAAACATGTTCATCAGCCAGTCAGAACTTGTTCTCCTTTTTGTTTGGTAACCATTTGTAAATTGCAGCATGATTGACATACAGTGAAATGCACATATCTTAAGTGTCAGTGTGATGAATTTTTAAATTCATGAAGGTGTATGTACATCTATGTAACCAGCACCTAAATCAGGACATAGAATGTTTTCCTCCCCCCAGGCAGGACCCTCATCCCCTCTCCCAGTGAGTGTGTTCCACCCTGGGGCCAACACTTTTCTGACCTCTACACCCATGGGTGTTTCTGTATAAATGTAAAAAAAGTAACAAGTAACAAGGAGAGTTCCAGTAGCTCACCTCCCCGCCAACCCTTCTGTTTCATCCAAATTGCTACAGTGTCACTAGTTCGTGTTTCTGTATAAATGTGTAGCAACATGTTCATCAGTTCACCTGTTGTCAGAGATTTGAGTTGTTTCTAGTTTGGAGCCTTTGTGAATAAAGCCGCTACGTCCTATACAGATGTACTCATTTCTCTTGGGTAGATTCCTCGTATAGATATGCACTCAGTTTTCTCAGGGAGGAATGGAATTGCTGAGTCATAGAGTAGACGTATGTTTAACTTTATCCGAAGCTGCCAAAAGTTTTCCAACATAATCATACTGTGTAACACTCCCCACCACCAGCAAATGAGAGTTCCAGTAGCTCCCCTCCCCGCCAGCCCTTCTCTTTTGGCCATTATGATGGGAGTGTAGAGGCATCTTACTGTGGATTTAATGTTCATTTCTCTGATAAACAATGAGCCCATTTTTATATACATTGGCCCTTTTGTGAAGAGTTTGTTCGAGTTTTTCTGCTCATTTTTTTTGTTATTTATCTTTTATTGATATACGGTATCAATGGATTGTTCATATATTCTGGATATGAGTCCTCTGTCACATTCTATGACTATTTTCTCTTTTTGCCTTGTTACTTTTTTTAATGGTGTCATTTGATGAAGTATTCTTTCTGAGTTCATTTCTGCTTTAAAAAAAACAATACCTTCTTTTTCCTGGGTGTAAAAATAACATTTTGATTGAGGAAACCTTGGAAAATAAAGAAAAGAATAAAGAAAATTAAAATGACCCGTGATCGTACTGCGCAGAGATAACCATTGTTCACATTTTGCTGTATTTCCAGCATGTCTCTTGTTAACGTATCCATTCGTTTAACAGTTATTTATTGAGCACCTGCTGTATGCCAGGCTGAAATATAAAAGGGAAGAAGACATAGTCCCCTTTCTCGTGGAGTTTGTAGTTTAGTGGGGCAACAACCGATACAGATACAGTGTTTTGACAGATAACTCTTATGTGTGAAGAAAAGGAAGAAGCCAGGCGAGGCGAGGGCGTGGTGGAGCGAGGGGCCGATTAGGGTGCTCATGGAAGGCTCTCAGAAGACGAGACATCTTACTGGACCTTTTTAAAAACTGCATTTGTATCGTATGTACAACTTTACGTCCATTTTTCTCCTTAACCTTATATTTCAAGCATTTTCCTATATTAAATATTTTTCGAAAGCATAATTTTTTAGAACCATATAATTTTCCATCATACGAATTTACCATAATTTGACCAGTTTGCTGTGCATTGTTGGGCATTCGTTAGGAAGCTTCCAGTTTTTATTTCGTTCTTTTTCTACAGCCCTCTTTAATCCTTTGGGGTAAATTCACACCGGTGGACTCAGGAGGGGAGAGCTCAAAGCAGCCGTAGTAGCCTCGGCTTCTCATGGGTCTCCTGGCTCGATTTTGGATGCGCCAGCTCAGCCTTCTTACTGCTGGAGCCCTTCTTTTTCCAGCCCCTCAGCCTTCCCTTTATCTCTGAGGTCACTGCCAGCAAAGCAGAGGGGCTTCAGGCGCTCCCTGCAGTCGGGGCCCGGGCAGCTGGCAAGCTCTGGCAGGTATCTGGTCCATCCTTGGAGGCTTCCTAGGCGTGCGCATGGAACAGGCCTCCTCCGGCCCCCACCCTCTAGCGCTTGCCATCTGATTGTCCCCTGGCCGTGGTGACAGTGTTCCGCCCGGGCACACCTGGGTGTGATGATGACTAACTCACCAGAGAGTGAGTGTTTATTTTGTCATACTTTACAGCAGAGATAAGACCAGTCCCCCACCCCGAGTTGAGTCTGCAGTGTGGGTCAAAAGCTGCTTCTCCATGCTCAGAAGAGTTGGCGTAGAGGTGTCGGAGAAGCCAGAGGCCTCCCAGAGCATTTCTCCTTGTCCCTGTTCCTGGCTGAGCCTGGCCTCTGCCCGCAGAGAATTACTTGTCCTTGGAGCTTCCAGAGGGACACCCTTTTCCGTGGGAGGGGCAGAGGGCTCCCCATCTTCTGAGACTTTAGGCAAGTTTCTCAACAGCCTTGGCTGTTTCCACTGAAACGGGTGACGGGAACACTTTATGGGGTTCAGTCATGTTTTCAGCATGTGCCCAGTGAGTTTCCACAGTTGCAGGTGCCTGGGATACAGGGGTACATCAGAGAGTCGGTGCCCAGGGCTGAGGACAGACAGCAAGTACAGAGGGCAGTCGGATGACCCAGGTCGCGCTAAATGCCACACGAGGCGAACAGGCACTGAAGGAAGAGCGACAGGAAGGGCCTCTGAGTGTCCATAGGGGAGGACCTCGCCACCGGAGAGCCTCGTCTCCCTGTCCTTGTGACTTCGGGAATGCCACTCAGCCGTTTGACTCCCTCAGATGTGCCCCATGTGTGAGCCACAGCCTTTTCCCAGAACTGCAGAGGTCCGAGGGGGGCAGGGTCTCAGGGAGCCATCCTGTGCAGCCGCTCAACCCCGCCTTCCCCGCTCCCTGCTTTAAAACCCTTCCAACAAATGTTTGTGGAGCGCCTCTCGTGCCAGGCACCAAGGGCGTGGCAGGAGTAAGACGGCCAAGGTCGACCTCAGGCACGTGCTTTCCAGTGGGGCTCGGTGGGCAGCGAGCAGGAACTGTGAAGATGATCTGTCCGTGTTCTAAGCATGTGAAGAAAATGAAACGAGGCGATGCGTGGCGTGCCCTGGATGTGACAGGGAGCAGCGAGTGGGGCACTCTAGGGCAGCGGTCCCCAACCTTTGTGGCACCATGGACCGGTGCTCCTATGAGAATCTAACGCCTGATGGTCTGAGGTGGAGCCGAGGTGGTGATGCTGGCGCTGGGGAGCGGCTGCAAACACAGATGGAGTTTCTCTAGCTTGCCTGCCCCCCCCACCCCCGCTCATCTCCTGCTGTGCGGCCCAGCTCCTAACAGGCCATGGACCCCTGCTCTCGGGATCTGTCACTGGTTAGGGAGCAGCGAAGTGCTGGTTACCAGCAAGAGGTTGGCAGCCTATTGAAGATCTGGGGCCAAAAGGTTCCAAGGGTAGACCGAGGTTGGTGGCTGCCATGAGTGACAGGGAGATGGAGAGGGACCAGACTAGTTGGTGCAGGGTCGTGAAGACCATGGAAAGGCGTGAAGACCATGGAAAGGCGTATGGAATTTATTCCAAGTGCAGTAGGGAGTCCTTAGAGGCCAAAAGGATAAGACCCTGAAAAACATTTCCGTAGAGCAGGACTCAGACTGACCCAGGCGCTGCTCGGGAAGGGGGTGGTGGTGCCAAACCTGGGCAGAGTCCTGCTCCTGGGGGAGGAGTATCCCTGCCAGGGGCCCTGTTGGCGCCTGTTCCTTTTTGCTGGGGAAGGTGTCCTAGTTGGATTTGTCTGTGGGAAGCTCTCTTTGCTTGTTCTAGGGAAGTGGGGCTAGTGGGCGGGCTGAGACTCACTCCCGATGGGACTCTCAGGACTGTTCCAGCCATATTATGCAAATGAGCTGGAAGCCCTTCCTCTGCATGGGGCAGGAACTGAAGGGGGGGTGCGCCATGATGGCAGGAAGCTCAGTGGATACACAGGAAGTCAGCTTCCTGCATTGAGTAGCCAGTGTTATGCAGTGACCACCAAGGCAATGTCGCATTTGTCCCCTGGGCTGAGAGATCACTAAATCAAGGGGGCGCTGTTCACAGGCCTGATGTGAGAGGATGGGGGGTCTGGCCACACTACTTGAGCCATGGGTTCTTTGGTCTAGAAGCATAGATCTCTCACTCCAGCCATTTTTTTTTGTCCCCCAGAATCCTAGTAACAGTGATATGAAAATGATGCTAAAATGTTCTAACTTCTTAATAAGTTATACTGTACCTACAAAATGGTGCCCTGTATAGCCATTAAAGGATGCCATGATTGTAGGTTTATTGTCTCGTAAAGATGTTCATAGTTAAATGAAAAGGGCCGTCTTATAAGACAGAAAGGAGAGTATCTGATTTTCGTTAAATATATATTAACATATTTAAAATTGGGGTAAGAAGAGAAAATGTTAGCTATATGGATGGGAGGATTGAGATAGTTTATATTTTGGTTTTCTAACATTTTTAACAGCTTTATTGAGATAATTGACATAATCTGTTCATATTTAAAGGGTACAATTTGATATGTATACATATATGTATATGTCCGTGAAACCATCACCATATCTATATTTTTTAATACTCCTAAAGTGAAGCTATGTGGTGGGTTTTGTTTTTGTTTTTGACTTTTAAAAAAGGGAAGCCTATCAGCCACTGAGCCAAGAGGGAAAGGATCTAGTACCCACTTCCAGAAGGCTAAGTTGTGGCAGGCAGTGGCAGGCAGGCCTTTCTAGAACCTTGAAAGGGAGGGCCACCTTCTCCCAGGTCTGGGTCCTTCCCTGGAACTCAGTAGACAGAGAGAAGCGAGGAGGGGAGAAGGGAGGAGGCCCAGGGCTGAAGCGCCAAGACTTAACCTCGCTCTCCCCCAGGAGGCCTCTGCAACCTGTGTTCAGACAGAGCCAACAAGGAGCACATCCTGCAGACAGGGGGCATCCCGCTCATCATCAACTGCCTGTCCAGTCCCAACGAAGAGACTGTGCTGTCCGCTGTCACCACAATCATGTACCTGAGCTCACCAGGCTCTGGCTCCCACCCCGAGCTGACCGCCATGCCCGTGGTCCAGTGCATGCTGCGCTTCTCTCTCTCGGCCAACACAAGGCTCCAGAACCTGGCCCAGATCTTCCTGGAAGACTTCTGCTCCCCCAGCCAGGTGGCCGAAGCCCGCCACCGGCCAGCCGACTCTGCCCTAGGTATCCCACTGCCAAGGACCGAGGCCCCACAGCAGCCCTGATCCAAGGAAACCTCAAGGCCATGGCACCCTGACTGCCAGAGACAAGACCAAAATCCTGGTGGATGCTTAGGAAGCAGGAGCATCTTACCTCCCACTGAGCACATTCCTCCCAATCGGTGTCTTTTCAGCCATTTTACAGGTGAGTTTTCTCAGCGAGACGGGTCTTTACACTGTGATAAAAGGCATTAGATGAACTGAGGAAGCCAGAGTTTGAGATACACGGAGGAAATGTATCAAAGGCAGTGCCAAAGGCTGGCACTCTCTCGACCATCTGAAGGCGAAGGTCCTTCCTCCTGACCCACCCCACTGCCAGGCTCTCACCCTCTTCTGGGTCCCTAGATCCAGACGCTTTGCAGAAAGCAGTTCTCCTGAGGACTCCCAGCCGGGCCTGGGGCTTAGGAGAACCGCCCGAGCTTGAGGAAGTCGGCTTCATCCCTTAACAGAAGTGTCTGGAGTAATTTTGTGGAACAGAAATGAGAAGCCTCACTAAAAGCATCTCGGGGCTCTGGGAAGCTGGGAGGGTGACACGCCCACGCCTGGGCTGTGGAGGCTGGGTACCTGCCCCACAAGCTCTCCAGGCCGGGCACTGGACATGGTGGATGCCGGCCCAGAGAACTCTATGGCCCAGGATCAACTGTTTATCCACATAGGCTTATCTGCCAAGCACCATGTTAGGGCTTCAAAGGCGAAGATATGGTCCCTGCTCTTGAGTGACACAGCCCAATGACTGTTAATGTGGCCATCAGGCATTAACACCAAAGCCATGAGGGTGATGACACATCAGAATACAGGCTCAGACACTTGGAGCCGCATCTGCTCCCCACCTGAGAGCCTTGGCCCTTCTCTTGCGCCGCCAGGGCTAAGTGAGGGGGCATCCTTGCCCCTGAAGTGTATCTCAGGCTCTGGAGGGCTTCAGGGTGTAAGGCCAGGTGCTGCTCGGGAGACAGAGGACCAGATACTGACGAAAAGTGTGTGGCTTGGAGTCCGCAGCATACGCTGGTCAGCACAAAGGAAGGCGCGTGGGACCGCCATGGACAGCTGGGGTTCAGGAGCTATGGGGAACCCTGGCCACCTGCACTCCCTTAAGGCCAAGGAAAGACAGCTGTGAGAGAAATGGTTTCCAGGTGGGCGTGGAGGTAGGGCGGGTTCCAGGGCCACTGGAGGTCGAGGAAGGGGAAGGCCTCCTGTCAGCCTCCTTCTCAACTGCTGCCCTCGGCTCTTGTCCCTTTACTTTCCCAAATAAAGGGCCTGAAAAGAGTGGCGAGCCGGCGTGCTTTATTAAAAGGTTCCTGACTGATTTCTCACGTTTCCATGCCAGCCGTCTCGGGAGGTGCCAGATGGCTGGCCTGTGAGAGCACCCTGCTCCCTGGTGCCAGCGGTCACTGCCACAACGATCCGCTGTCACTCAGCTCTGCTAGGGTCACCTGCTGGCCTGCCTTCCCTCGCTTCAGCTACTGTCCATGGCCCTGGTCCCTCAGCTCGTTCCTGCAGCAGCCCCAGGCCCGCTGGGTCGCGTTGCACAGCTTCCCACTCGCTGCCTATGATCTCTCTCCAGTTGTCACTCCGAGAGAGCAACCGTCTCCTTGGGGGCGGCAGGGCCAGGTGCTGGTTGTGGCAGCAGGTGAATAAGATGTGCTCCCACCTTGAGTTCTCCTCTCGGCCTGGGACAGGACACGGGAGAAAGGCAGCGAACATGCTGCAGTCTGTAATCTGGTTATTTTTGCTCCTTCTCCCTAATCCTGGCAGGCCAGATGCCTGGAGGTTGCCAAGGAAACAGATCCAACCTTGAATGCTGTCTTTGTCGTCAATGAGCAGGTCCCCCAAGACCACTGTCTTGTCCCTCGTCAGGATAATGCGCTCCACGAACTGGGGCTCTAGGTGCTTCTCCACGCAGCGATACTGTGTAGGGGTACAGATCCGTCAGTAGGGCCCGACGGGCCCCTGAATTCAGGGCCAGTGAGGAGGTAGGCGTGAGTGGGGTCTGCAGCCCTTGAGAGATGCGGCTGCCCTCTCTCCTCCCCCCACCCCTCCTGTGTTTCTGCCGGTTTATTGTAAAAACGAAGACTTAGGACACTTTGCCTAGGAGGTGCTGGGCAACGCACCTTCTCGCCCACACAGTGGTCGTAGTTCATCAGAGGGCCGGTGCAGATGAAGACCTCGGTGCTGCGGGGGAGGGGTGGGGTAGACAGGGAAGTGCCGGACCTTGCCCCCACCGCCCTTCCCTCCCACGCTTCCCCACTCCTGCATGGCGTCCCAGGCCCCGGGGATGGGCTCCAAGTCTAGGAAGAAGCTTGGAGCTTCCTACACACAGGCCAGTTTGGCCTGAAAGACAGAGTTCCCGTCCTGGCTTCTGCCGCCAGCAGGTCGAACCCCAGCGAGGACTCTCAAAATGAGGTTCCTGGGGGCCTTTTCTTATCCTGGGATGAACTGTGGATTCTGAAGTGAGTTTTGTTAATTAGATAGGAAGGTGATGTCTCAGAAAATGGAGCAGAGGCCAGGGGGAGAGCTCCCCACTTGCAGGTGCCCAATGGGGTCGGGGATCCCGGCTCCCGGGGCAGCGCCGTGCCGCGTCCACCACCCCCGTCCCCAGCCCCTACCGCCGGTCCGGCGGAAGGGCTCGGTACTGCTCCCGGGCAAAGAAGCCGCGGCGCTCGTCCAGCGGCACGTGCGGCTCCCGGGGAAGCGGCGGCGGAAGCCCTGCAGGAGGCAGGCCTCGAAGTCGGCCCGCACGCCGTCCATGTCCACCAGCACTCGCAGGGGCCGCGTGCGCCGCGTCAGGGCGAATTTGCATGGGCGCCCGGGTGCCCCGCTCGTCGGAGCGCGGTGCCTAACCCAGAACGCAGCGTGGGGATGTCTTAGGGGGTCACCTTTCTGGTCTTCAACTGCCGTAGACGTTCCTAGGGGCGGACCTCCCACGGGACCGACCGGGGCGATCCGAAATACTGAAGCGTCTTTTAACGAGGAGTCAAGGTTCCTTAAACCTGTGCGGATGGCTCCACCTTTCCTGTACCCTGCACCTCGAGTCCTGGGGCTACAAGCAATTCTACCCTCCCTGCTTGCGTGGGCGGGGGGCGCGGGGACGTGGTGGGACCCGGGACCAGAGCTCCGGTGAAGGCAGCACCGACCCAAGGCGCGCATCACTGGGGCTCGCAGTACCTGAAGTCAGTCAATCTGTTGAAGACAGTTCGAGCTCCTAAGATGAATTCACACAGCAGTTGGCTTGAAATATGAGAGCATCTGCTTTAAATATCCAGTTCCACCTGGAAGAGCAGCTTTGCATCAAGCTCAGGTAATCGGACTGTCCTTTCTACCTCTTTAGAATCAGGTCTGTCCCCCTCTAGAAAACGCTAAACATTGTTCAATTTGTTGACTCCCCGTTGTAGATTTAGTGCAATTTCCCGACTACATCCAAGCAGTTCCCCATATGAGCACCTCAGTATTTCCAAACGGTAACAAAAACATTAGCGTCTCATTCTTTGATCTAACTCAAAAAATGCATAAGGGGTAGAATGGGCATAAGCAATAAATACTGAGTCCTCGACTGGTATTTTTTCCCCCCTTTCACTGGCCACTTGACATCACGAACTGGGTAAAAAGTCCAAACTGTTAACTCTATCATCATTTAAGAGCATTCAGTTCGCTTTCTAGACCCTGATCTTTCTGACTGGAAAACTTAACACCATGAACAAACAGTAGCATAGCTGGACTAAGAGCCAAGTCTTAATAATGCCTAATTTAGACATTTAATATAGCATGTTAATCTGGAACTTTCCGCCTAGAACCCAGAGAGCTTTCTCCTATTTTCTGTGTCCATTATCACTTGAGGAAAACTCAGATTGACACCCGCCCCCATCCCTGTCTAATTACATGGCCCGTTTCTTCCCTTGGAGCTCTTCTCTGACCACCCACCAATGAGAAACACCTGTTAAGTGTTAAATGTCACTGCCCAATACAAAGGGTAGGTGATAGGACAGTCTAAAATATATTGGCTAACAACTATTCGAGATATCGATTCATATTATTCCTGAATTTTATTACCACAGATAATTAGTTATCATTTTGTATTTTTAACTCATGCTGACCGTAAACCTGTTTTCTTTAGAAGCCCACTTGTCTCTGGGCCTTCATTAGTCTAACTTTAATGACTTCAAATCATTAGGCAGGATTTATAGTAACAGAACAAAGCAACTAAACAGGTAGAACAGTAAATAATCTCAGAATGATGACACAGGACACAATGTTTCAAAATTTGTACATCGTTTACTTTAAGCCACAGTCCAGGATCAGGAAGTACAACACACATTGTAAGGATGAGACTTTTCGTTTGAAGGTCAAGCACCAGCATCATGCACACAGCTTCAAGGTATCTGAGACCACTGCCCCGGCGGGGTCTGTTCGAGCCGAAGACCCACTTCTGTGTGGTCACCGCCCTTGCTTGCTTCACCACTTGGAATTGGTCACTTTGAGTGTACCTGGAGCCTCCCCTCTGCGTGACAGCAGGAGACTGCTCCTCAGCCAGTCAAGTTAGCATCTGGCTTATTTCTTAAGGTTCAAAAATAAAAGGCAGTTTTTTGCTTTGCAGGCAGCAAGGCATGAGGCACAGGCCTCTTTATTGTTCTATATGGCACAGGAAGATGCTTTTAGCAAAGGGCACTGACAAGGTAGGGCAACACCAAGGAGGTTCGGCACAAAGACCAAACCTGTGTTGGGGGCCTGCAGGAACTAACGGTGCCTGTGGACTGTTGACTGGCCTGTCCAATCAAGGCTTGGTAAACCCAAGTAAAGCTGACAAGAAAAGGGTTTTAAAAACCTCAGTACAAAAGACCCTCTAACACATTTGGAACCAAATTATTTGTTCTTAAAAACACGGTACTAAGTGTCACAAAGCTTTCCCTCCAATCTACTACTAGAAAACACTCATGCCATGGCCTACAGACCGAGAGGAATCGGGACAGATAAAGAGACCTGTTCTTCAAAAAGAAAAAAGAAAAGAAAAGGAAGAAAAAAAAAAAAAAGACAGCAGTACATAAAGTGCTTCTTTTTTAATGAAACAAATCCAAAAGATGTACAGTCAGGCTCAAGTTGTGCAGTTCACAAGCATGGAAAAACAAACGAAACAACAGAGTTCAGGACCGTCGCGGCTAACCCAGGACAAGGCTGGACTTGCCACCAGGGGGGTTTCTTCGGGATGGCACTGGGGCCGGTGCCACTGGGCTGGGCACGGGGGCAGCGGGCACAGGCTTCTCCTCACTCTGCCCCAGGCTGGCCTGCAAGTCTGTGTCCATGTTTTCTAGGAAAACAGAGAATAAAATTAAGGCTAACTATTTTCAGTGAAGATGGAGAATCTTAAGATTTTTCTTTCGATGATGGTTCAAAACAATACCTAGAGTATAAGGCAAATAACAGTCACCAGCCACGTTCCTACTCCCCAGAATTAACCACCGATCGTGCTTTGCCATATTTGTCCCGAGGTCTTTTTCTGTACGTTCTTTCCTCAGTTACACAAATTTATGAAGACATGAATGTTTTAAATTAGAACGTTACAGACAAGCCCTAGAACCCAGACCTCCACCTACCTCCTGCGGGTCTCCTCTCCCTGTGCCCAGGGGACCCACTGCTAGTCGTGTGAATTTTTCTAGTCTGTTTGTTTTATGCATATTTCATGTGTTTTATTTCCAACAAATAACATAATACTGTTTTTGTTGTATTTAACGTAAATGATATCAACTTCCTTTTTCCACTCTTTTGCAAATTCACCCATAGTCATAATTCACCTTTATACACAGTCATAATTCCCCTTGATTAATTATTTTCTGGTGTATATACAATTTGTATATATTTGTCCAGTCTTCTGATATCAACGAATAAGAACCATCCCAACCACTGCAAACAAAGCTGTAATGCACATGCAGGAACGTGTGTGCCCTCAGTAACGCAGATATATGCACCTTGTCTTCAATATGAACAGACCACACACCACCATCCCGTGTTCTCCGCCACAACCCATGTCAGAGTTTGCTCTCCCTACATCTTTGCTTATCCACCACTTGGTAACCACCTCATTTTAATAATATCTGCCAGAGTGTTGGGTGAAAAATGTTATTACTGCATTCCTGTTTTATGTTACATGTGCACAACTACTAGGTGAGGTTGATTTTAGCAACACAGCCAGCCAGTTGTACCACCGTGATTTATTAAAGAGTCTACCTTTCCCCTACTGATTGCAATGACATCTCCATGAGTCAAGTCACTCCCACCTCTATTAACTGGGTACTGTCCACATTCAAGTCCTAAGAATTAGTGTATCATTGATCCAATATCCTAGATATTGCTTGATTGATTCACTGGCTGATTTGTGAAACTCCCAACAAACATATATTCTTAACCAGGTAGTTTCCAAACTTTGAAAAGTCATTGATTCAAAGTCAAGAGTAACTGCAAAAGAAAAAACTCAAAAGTATTTTCTGTGAAAGGAAATTTTACGAAAGATTTAATAGTTTTAAGGCATGTTAGACTTTTAATTTTCTAAAAATTGCCAGGTCTCATTTCAGTGTGAAATCATCAAATTAAACTCAGCTGCCTAGTCTAACACCTGCCTTAGAGATAATCGCACACACACAGGTACCTTTCGCATGTTAGACTTGGGAGAAAAACTACTGTAAGGTTCGAAGGTGTTCATTCCCTCCCCTGGTTTGGGAGTTCCAAAACTCTGGAAGCAGGGAAGCCAAAATACTGGTTATGATATATGCTATGTAAGAACTTCCTATGGACTCCTACTGGACACCAATGAAAAGTTCTAATTTCAGAAAAAAAATGTCGTTTCTTTAAGTTCCTCAGAGAATAAACATTAAAAGTTCATGTTACTACAACCACTTTTACCAAGTTTTGATTTAGCCGACTGAAACTGAGAAGTCCAAAGGGGAAGAGGTCTTAGATCAGAGACACAACAAAATCTCAGAAATATGTTACTGCTTTTAACACTGCATTTTATGAATTTTTGGAACATTCTATAGAAGTTAACTTATGACACATATAATGTTCTATACTATATTCAACTACCAGTAAAAATCTGGTATGACACTTTTCAAAATGATAGCCTTCACGGTTATGAACTGAAGCTTGTAGCATCAGTTTCCTGTTGCTACACTCTCGTTACACAAGAAACAGGATCACATGCATCAACATTAAGTGCCCAAGTCCTATAATAAACGTCCCTTAAATAACCTAGGAAAATATGTCCAATTTACTGCAAATACAAACCACCACCAAAAAATTCACATTGGACATTTTAAAACAGTCCAAGATAGATGAATATAGATCACGAACTCAGCCTGAGCCAGTGTTATCAACGCAAGCTGTTTCTTTTCTGCTGCTAGGACCTGGCATCACGGCTGTACAGGACCTAACTGAATTTCTCCACCGTCTGTCTGGACCAAGCAGTTAACGAGTACTTCTAAAGGACACAAAATTATCTTGCAGCTCTACCATGGCAGTTTATTTCCGTAAAGTGATTTTTAGATAAATCAAGTTCATTTCCACCAATCTTATACATGTCTTTTATCATTAATGGAACTGTTTGTTCTGTGTTTCACAACTAGGTAACAACATACCAAAAAAGCAGCAGCAGCACACATTGAGAAATAAACAGCAGACCTTATTATTTTCAGTGCACACTTGTCAGAAATAAATATTCCAGCCAGAAAAGATGGAGGTTTGTTTGTTACTCCATCTCATTAGTCTGCAATGAGATTAGTACAGGATTGAAGACTTAGAAACTTATAATAACAAAAAGGCTTTAAAGAAAAGTACCTACACCATAATATCCATCTTACATACTCCTAACTTGTCTTTCTTCTTTGAGCATCAGTAAGTTACCTGAACAGACACCTCTGTCAGACTAGAAAAAATGATTCATTATAAAGATCAAAGAATTAGAACCGTAAGAAAATGTAGACCATCTAACTTGCCTGAAGGCAGGGAAAGACTTCTGCCTAAATCTCCTGGACCTTCTCCCTCTTAAAGTTTTCCAAAGTCTTCCCTGTAGCTATTCCTGTGTTTACCCAAAAGATGAAGGCTATTTTCCTTACATCCAAACAAAACCTGTTGTATTTAAACAGAGCGGAGTAGGTTGGCTTTCAAGTAAACTTGGCAACAGCAATGGTGGACCCCTGCTCCACCAAATGACTCTTGAATTATTAGGCCCATTGTCATTTTATGATAAATGAACTAAAAGTACCAGGCAGGAACACAGAATAATCAGGTGGCAAAACTGACGACCATTAAAAAAAAGGACTTATACTATACAGTTCAATATACTATATAGTGTATATTGAACTGTATAGTATAGTATATACTATACAGTGCTATTTACCTGAAGCACCTATAACGAATTGAGCAGTCGGGGGGTGTGGGAGCGGAGGGGATTATTAATGATTCAGCAGGGCCAATGACACCTTTTTTCATAACTTCATCAGGGCTCCCAAATACTTCTCTCCAGGCTCCTCAAATTCCTAAGTATATCCACTGGCCGAAATTAGTGAATAAAGATTAGTTGATTCTGGCTAAATAAGGTCTGCCAGTAGAAAGATTTCAGGATATGAAAAGCAGAACTGAAAAGCCCAGAAGATTTGCTACCTCCAGAAGAGTCTTTAAATAGAACAAATTGGACACAAACAATAACAAATTTATCTTCAGTTCAGTGAAAAAGTAATTTGCCCAACGAGGTAGAACTCAGGTCACGCTCACAAAGGTTCAGAGGGTTTTCTTCCCACATGCCCATCAAGAGATACTGTTCGAGGGGACAGAAGAGGAATGTGGTTCTTAAACATTTGTTTCCCCAAAAGACCGCATCACAAACTATAGGAAAAGCCCACGAGGAAGTGACTTCTGTACCACGGGGCCCTGTGTGTCTGCTGTGTCTCACCCAGTCAACTTTAACCTGACTGCTACTGCCTGACACGTGTCAACCTTTCATTATACTCATGGGCAAGTCTCTGGCACTTGTTAAGGAAATGCCAATAAATACTTCAAAGACTTGAAATAAATAAATGCTGACAGCTCATTTCCACATATAACTGGTCACAGAGATGCTAACTGAAAGTTTACATCTGCCCTCTAACTCATCATTTACAAGATCACAGGTTACCGTCTTGATGAATAAACACCTCAGTATAAAATCACACTCTTTGTAATTCAATGCTGGGGGCCAAGGCTGAACTGACAGAGCCGTTTACTGAAAAGCTCCCATTAGTGTAAAAAATAGCAGCCTGATTAACGCACATACATTTGTAAAGAATTTTGTTTTTGTTTTTTTTCCTTTTTTTCCCTTTCTCTTACATTTCTAGCATTGCTCTCCCTGCTGGCTGATACCAATCGTGGCCCTGTTTGCTAACTTTCCAGTTTCTTTTTTCTTTCCCCTCCACTCCGAGTATGCTGGCACCTGGGCAAAACTAGGTTTCACTCCCCAGTCTCTTTCCCCTAGACATGACTGAATCAATAGTCCAATCTATTCTAAAACCATTTACAGAACCAGATATCTGGGCTTCTGAAGTACTCACCATGAATGTCACCTTCTCCCTAGAAAAGAAAAGACATTAAAATTTTACCTCAGGTTTTAACTTTGCAATACTCAAATAAAGCAGTCACAGTTCAGAGAGGCTACTATCTGTTTGAAACCAAATGTTTTCATTCCAGTGCAGTGAAGTTCAGGGTCAGGCTGCATTAACAATAAACAACCTTTAATCAACCAGAGACAACGCTACACAAAAACGCAAACTCCCAAACTCCAAAAAACCTTAACGTCTTATCTTGATGGCCTAATATCAATTAGCATTTCAGAGGATCTTTTATCAGAATGGGAAACTAGTAAATCTATCCTTCCATCCTCCCTTTCTCTGTCTAGGGGTTTGAAGGGCATCTATCAATTCCAAAGCCCCTTCTACAAGTCTCCCTACACTTAGATGGCTGATGCCTCCATGTGCCCTGAGGTCCCTGCTCAGGAGGACACCCTACCAGGCTTTCTAGACACATCAGGAGGCTGGTGGAGGCAGGGATGCTGCAGTCTCCTGGAGTTCAGCTCGAAAGGACTGGGCAACATTTGCCGACAATTCTAACAGTCTTTGAACTCAGAAATGCTACTATGAGATACACAGGAAGAGAGTGTGATCTAGAAGTCCCTAAAATCAATACTAAAGGATAAAGGCCAATGCTAATGGTGGAAGAGATACCAGAGCAGACCAAGGTCATGTTAACTCACTTCCTGACTTTCCCCTCTTCAGTTACCAATCTTCCATCACCAATACAGCCCAGTCCTTTTCTTCATCACCTCTACGTAAAACTCTAGTGGCAGAACTGAAGCTCTCAGTACGAGCGGGGTAGGGGCGGAATCTGATTTCTAAACTGAATTAACCTCAAAGCCTGTCTTTTCCCCCATGCTGTCACACTGACCTTCAGATCTAAGAAGTCTCCAGAGTTCCCTTCAGAAGAATTCCTTCTCCGAGGTCCAGATGACTCAGAATCTTCTCTGCCACCACTAGACTTGGCACCTGAATCAAAATATACTTTCTTGAGGAATACAATAGGAAGACCTGAAGCAAACACTTTTTCAGTGAGTGGTATGTTATGTTCTAGTCTCATAATACAAAATGAGCAGTGTTAGGGAGATTAAGTGAGGACTTAAAAATTATACAGAGGGACTGAATAATCCCATCTGACATTGCTCCTTATTCTGATCCATCACGTAAACTCTCGGTATTCCCTGTTTCTTAGTCCCAGTCTTTCCTCTAACGATAAGCTTTAACTGTTGTTTATCTCATTACGATTAAGCTAGATTTTGCTCATCAGCACAAAACCAGCTGTTCATGCTGGGTCTGTCCCTCTGACCAGGGATCACAGACATATAAGCAGTACCTGCAGACTTGGCCCAAGAAGGGGGATTTTCCTCAGATGTCCCAAAGATGCTGGAGGCCATTTTATTCTTCCTCACAGGTTGTTCTGTTGGTTCATCGAAGCCTAATGAAAAATTGGATCCGCCACCCGGAGGCCGCAAAACCCTAGGAATAATGGTGAAACAATTTCAGATCGTACCAAAAGGTTTCTTGGCATAAATGTTTTCAAACACCTTTCATTCCATTTCCCTTACCCATTCATTGCCCTTACCTCCCACAAGAGAGCTGCTAATGGAAAAAAGGAACTGATTCCATCAGGGTATAAATTCAACACTGGGTATTAAGATACAAAATGCTGCTTTATAATATTTGTAATAGGTTGTCCATCGCACAAGGCAGCTGAAACAGCCCGAAAATCATCACAAACACAAGCCTGGCTGGTGTCCCCTTTTAGGAAATGGCAGAAGACTTAACGGACCTTGCCTACTGGGCTTAGCAGGGTAGATGTGTAAAAAAGTTTAGAGCATATCTTGTTATTTATTCAAAATGCATTTCCATTTTTATTTTCAACCAAAAAAAAAAAAAAAAAAAGAATATACATATAAAAGTTAACCAGACCAATTTAGAAACCCCATAAAAGCTGATGATAAAGAGCCTCTCCTAGCTCAACATCATGGACAAGCCCTGTTTATACACTTATACCTCACTAATCTCACTGGTAAACACGAGTGACTCACCCACAAGGTGGAAGTCAATGAGAAATTAGTGTACAATTCTGTGGCGTGATCTATGCCCACGTACCTTTGGACACCGAGTACTTTGTCCGATAAGTACTTTCATGTTCCCAAATCTTCCTGCCACAAACTGACCGATTTGTTCCCTCCATGGAAAAACTCAATTTAACTTGTCCTGTCACCACTCAAAACACAGAAAATGGAGATGGTTTGATGAGAAGACTTTTCTAACTACTGATTCAATTCCTTTATTAATGATAGGTGTCGTCTGGTTTCTAATTCTTAAGTCGGTTTGAATAAGAAATATTTTTCTAGGAATATGTCCATTTCATCCAAGTTTTCAAATAAATAACAGTAGTCATTTGTAAACTTAGCTCCTTGTATTAGAAAATAAAGAAAAATTTAAAAACTTATGGTATAAATTCTCTTCTAAATACTCCTCTAAAGGCATTCTCAGGTTTTGATTCTAAATATTTTCGCATTTCCATTTTCTTCTTTGACCCATAAATTATTTAGAAGTGCATCTGTAAGTTTCCAAATATAGGGATCTAATTTGATTTCTAGCTTTTAATTGTAACAGGCAACAGAGTCTTATGATATGAATCCTTTGAAATTTGATGAGATGGGCCTTATGGTTTAATATCTGGTCAATTTGGTAAATCTTCTACATGTGCTTGAAAAGAATGTGTATTTGCCAATGTTCTATATAGCCATGAGATCGAGCCTGTCAATTGAGTTGCTCAATCTAATTAATGAAATGTTTTATCACTCACTGAGAGAATCTGTTAACAACTTCTACTACAATGAGGGGTTGCTCAGTTTCTTCTCAGAATTCTGTCAAGATAAAGAGCTCTCTCTCAAAAAGACTGTCAATGGAATACTTAGATCAGGAGGGAAACTGCGTCAGGTTAACTGGCTAGTCATTTTGAGTAAACAAACAAAATATATATCCCTAATTCACTTCACTTACCAAAATAAGTTCCAGCTACGTCAAATATTTTAATTTAGAGATCAAAACAAAAATACTGGGAGAAAATATGAACAAATGTGACCTAGTCTTGAAAAAAAAGAACTTTCTAAGCACAAGATGAAAGCCAGAAGCCATGAAAAGATGGACAGATTAAACTTGGCAAAAATAGACATATTTGACAAAGGATAATATCACTAGAATACAGAATGCTTTTTAAAATAATGAAAATAATCAGGAGAAAATGAACAAAAAGTACTGAAAGGCAATTAAAAAATATGGATAGCTTCTAAACTTTAAAAATTATTCAACCTCACTAGCAAGGAAATGAAATTTAAAACAAAATGATATAGTTTTTGGCTTATTAGGCTGCTAAAGATAAAAAAAAGGCCAATTTTCTAAAGAACATTTTCATAATATGTATCAAATGCTTAAGTTTGCACTTCACATGAATCAACATTTCTTCTTCCAGAAATTATCCTAAGAGACAATAAGGATACGCCTGTAAATAGGTTAATCTGTAAAAAATTGGAAATACCCTAATTATCCATTAGCAGGGAGTTAGTTATCAAAGTTTATTCATACAACAGAAAACTATATACATTAGAGAGAGATTTACCGTTATTACTAGATGTAAAGTTACCTAAAACACAGTGAATAAGAAAGGATGGAGAATAAATATAAGCCCGATTACATGTTACATAAAATCATGTGTATAGAGATACACACTTGTCTAGCTGTGTGACCTTAGGTTAGCTGCTTAACCTCTCTCTGCTTTGGTTTCCTCTTCTATAAAAAGAGAATAGTAGCTGCCTTACAGGACTATTATAAAAATATCATTGATAACTTAGAACAGTAACTGGAATATGGCAAGTGTGTGTCCTAATTATGATAATCATCGTAACTAAACATAAATGTCTGAAAGCATTTGTACCACGCGTTATCCCAGGGATTTCTGGTGAATTTCAATGTCATTCTTCAAAAATATTTCGTATTTTTCTGTACTGCTGTCAGTCTAAAATTCTCTTGGAGACCACTTCTGGGTTCCCGAATTCCCCCACAACTTTTCTTTTGACAATACTCCTTTTCTCACTGGCCATTGTATGTGATCGTTTGTAGGCACCTGTGTCCACTTGGATCTCTATAGACAGAAATCCTGGCTCCTCTGCTCCTTTGGGTGCAGGCTGGCACCCTGGCTTCAGGGGGCTCCCTAACACTGCCCCTTCCTGCCCGAGGGGTGATCTGCCCTGTCCTGCGTCCTTTCTGCTGGGCTCCCCTGCCCTGTCTTATCCTTGCTACCCACAAGCCAGCAGATGCAAGGTTTGGTCGAGCCTAGGCAGAACTGAAGGAAATCGGACAAACTTTGCCAGCTACCAATATAGCATCTTCTCAACCGCATCTACCATCTTCTTCACCAGTCAATCCAGTAAGGCCACTTTCCTCACTGTATTCCTCACTGTACACATACACGTACACACACACGTACACACACACACACACACACACACACACACACACACACACACACACACACACACGAGATCCTGGCTTATTTCCACCTGGCTTATTTCCGTACTTCCTCCTGCCAAGAACCTCTCCGCCCTGCCCTCTGGGACTCTAACATGCAGCCCATAACTCAGACCTTCACCTCCTCCACAAGCTCAACGAGTAACAGGTGAGACCCCAAAGGAAAGGATGTTAGAGATCCTCTCCCAGGCAACAGCTCTGTATAAAGGGCCAGATAGTAACTATGCGTGGCTTGTGGGTCATGCAGTCTCCCGCAACTAATAACTCCATCACATAGCACGAAGGCAGCCAAGAAACACGAAAATGAGTGAGTGTGGCTGTGTTCCAATAAAACGTTGTTTATGGACACTGAAATTTGATTTTCATGTTATTTTCACAAGACATGAAATATTCTTGTTTTGTTGTTGTTGTTGTTTTCAACCACTTATAAAATGTAAAAATCTGGCACCAGCTGGGTTGGGTCCTCAAGTGGTAGTGTGCTGAGCTCTGCTCCATCTCGTAGTTAGTTCAACAGACTCATTCTTAAGAGAGCAAAGTCAGGCCACGAGCAGTTCCAAATAAACCGCCCAACATTAGTTAACTGATAGACGGGACTGAAACCCAAATCCCCAGGTCCTGGCAGGCACATAACAAGGGCTCAGAGTGCATTCGAATAAGGGGGCCACACAGGGCCACTGTTCTCTTAAACCACAAGCCTCCATAGTTGGTGCTTTGATTAGTTTTCTTGTTTTCTAGTCTTAGACTGTCTTATATTTCTTACATAGGTCCTCTGGTGCCCTCCTCTAAATCTATTATTTGTGTCTGCTCATAGTAAAATTCAGTACTCCGTCTACACGAAATAAAAATGTCACTGTTTTACCCCCAGGGGGAAGACCCATTGTGTTCTTTTATAACATGTCAAACATTCAAAACCCACTTTCTTCTTTAAAGTCTAAGATATTAAATATCCACTTAAATTCACTATATGAGGATAAATGTGTTCAGGCATACATTTAATATAGATGATAATTTTAGGTTAGCTTAAATTGTTTAAATCATAATTGAAGGTACATTATAAATTCTTAATAGGCTTTTTCTCATGTTAAAGTTTAAAGCAACTAGGTTTTTATCACCCGTACCCCAAATCAACAGACACACTTGAAATATTATCTTCAAAGTTAACTTGGATGTTCATTGCCATCCCCTTCATTCCTAGAGATTAGACTGGTTTTCCTCACCATCGCAATTAAACTCTCATGAATTATTTTAGCCAGACAAAAATCTTCAGAACGCCAATGGGTTGGGAAATATTTTTTTGGCCTTAAAAAAAGAAAAAAGACACTAGTACCCAAACAGTAGCTTAAAAAAAAAAAGTCAAAGCTCTGACCAGCTCAACTTTTTAAAGCTCTGTGTTCCCCCTGCAATAGCAGGTAATACTCCAATGACGTCAGCCCATCTGCAACAGCCAGACATCCCCAAACAAAGGATTTGGATCATAAGATAGAAATTATATCAGTTTTACTTTTTAAGATCCTACTATTCTTTCTGAACTACACACATGGTAACTAAATCAGGATTACATATTTGAGACTCAACAAAAACGTCTCCATGATCTGCAGATAGCAATTTAAAACAATTTTTTTTCTTTCTTCTCTCTTTAAAGCCCAGGGTACTCATGTGATTTGTTCAGATCATTTCCTAACAGACTAAATTTATAACATGTTTATGGAGCCAGGAGAATATTACTGGAGAAAAGAAGTTTAGGAGATTTAGGTGAGATTATAGAAGATGGAAAGGTAGAAGTAAATAAAAGGACTATGCTACAGTCTTGAGATCACAATACTGGAGAGGAACTGATGACAAAAGGTAAATTAAAGCACTTATTGTGCAAAACCAAAAAGCATTAGTCTCACATTTCAAATATACATATTGAAAAACTAGTCTAAGGATTCATTTGATCAGGTTACTGAAATTCATTATGAAGCACTAAATCGCACTCAACCCTAATAAAACCTCAGATTTTTACACATTACCATTCCAACCACTACATTCTAACCCGCGGAAAGTTGACCCCACTTGACCCCACGACACAAAACAAAAGACCAAGGTTCAATTTGGCCCAGCGTCCTCTGAAAAAAAAAAAAAATGATGTCATTGGAAGGATGACAGCAGAAGAGGGAGTGACCCTCTTCAGTATTTTTGTAGGTCTATGCTACCCATCTTCCCAGTAACCACTCATTTTTAAAATCTTTCCCGTCCTTTTCTACATCGTTAATGAAAGAGAAAGGAATGCGTTGAAAAGAAATGTCATTTCCAAAGGTCCCTCCTGAGGCTCACTGCTGAGGCCTGCTTTTGTCCTCAAGTTGTCCAACCCCTGTGAGACACTGCTATTTCACAGCTGTCTTCTTAAGCCCCACAAAATGGCTCCCTTTGTGCCACTTGCTCAAGACCCCCAAGGCTGGCCACACATGACCGCAGGTCATAATCAATGCTCAGGAAAAGTGGAACCTAAGCTTCCTCCACGCCTTGAGCAAAGGTCCCAGAGATGCCTGTACCCCACCTTAAAGGAGCAGTATGCAATGAGACAAGACAATGTGGACAATTTCCACCGCATCCGAACCTTTCCCTCAAGTTAGGCAAGGGCTTGGAAAAGGGTTCCAGGCCCAACGCCACGCCCAGTGTCCCCTTCCAGTGGCTTGAGTGGCCCGAAAGGCCCCGGCTTCCCAGGTGGACATG